CTTATGTTAGTTATTTAAATTTATTTTATATCTCGTAACATATAAAAATAGTCAATAAATTTTAAATAGCATAATAAATTGGTTTTAATGTATTTTCTTGAAAATAATTTAACAAAATAAGGAAAACATAATATTAGAAAGCCAGATAATGAAATGACAATGTTACATAATTCATAGAATATGTATATTATTAAATAATTATAAAGTGATAATTCCTCATGTTACTCAATGTCCTATTTAAATTTATTTTTATAAGTAGTTTGTGTATTATATTAGCACTCTTTCACTTTGTGTATTTTTTTTTCTCTTTTTGCATGCAAAAGGATGATAGCAAATTAGAAAATATCGAACTTCAATACTACTTTAGGATTTTAATTACTTAGTCTATAAAAAATTAATTATAAAAAATAATACAATAAATTTCTATTATAATAGATGAGGTATACCTTTAATTACCTTAATATGTATATACATTTTAATTACTTATCTATACCTTACTATTAAAAGAATTTCCAAAGGATTTTGCATTTGACATCCATTGAAAATCTTTTAATTGCAGAGGATGTTAAAGGGATTTGTTTTTTTGTGCTTCTAAATGCATCTCTATTTTTTTTCGACGCCTATTTTATTTTTTTAAAATCATATTTAAGTGAAATTACTTAATTACTCTTCTTACCTTTAAAAGATTTGAATATTCATATCTGATAAGTCAAATATCTTACCAAATATATGTTTTTGGTAAGTTATATAAGTTATCGGAATATCCGATAACTTATATAAATTACTAGATTAAGTTACCTGATATGCATGTCTAGTAACTTATATAATTTAACGAAATTTTATATATGATAAATTATTTAAACTTAAAAAACTTTAAATCTTAAATTGTAAATCTTAAATTTAAAAATTTAGTTGAGAAAAAAAAATCACATAGCTTGAAGAATTTTCGTAACACTGACTGATAAAAACTATAGCTTTAATAAAAATAGGACTTGATTACAACATATAAGTTTTGGATTTTCTTCTTGATTTTAATGATCTAAGAGATGGGAAATGACCAATGTTTTTTTATGAAATTTTTAAGCCACTTAAATGATGTTTCTAATGAGAATCGAAAATTTTTAAAAGTTTTCAGATATGAAAATTCGAAATTTTTAAAAAAATTTTTGATAGAGAATCCTAAAGTTTATAAAAACTTTTTTTTAAATAATTAAATAATTTCACATAAAATAGCTTTGAAAAAAAGAATAGGCATGAAGAATAAGTACGGAATACAAATAAAAACTTTTTTTTGAAGTAAAGGGTTTTGTTATATATTAAAGTTAGGTACATATAAATTTACTTTAATACCTTTTGTTTCCAATGTGAGATATATTTTTTGTTTGCTACTTGGCTCACAAGAGCTTGGCATGTCCCAAGCTTTTTTCTTTAAATTTCATCTTTATTGAATATAAATAATAGTATTACTAATAGAGAAGGGATCTGTTGTCACTAGTATAAGAGTTACACTTTTTTGCTCTTATATCAAAATTAAATTTATAACACTTATATTTAGTCATTTTGATTCAAAGGTAAAAAATATATAATACTCACACTAATATAAGTGGAACCCTCATCTTCTTAATAAGTTATCTTATTTTTTATTTTTTAAATATAAATTTTTATTTTTTTTGAAGTGGTCTCCGTAATGTTGCAATTTTTTATATTTATTTATTTTTGATATATTCTTCTATGTTAAATTTAATATTTTAATTTGATTTTCTTATAGAAAAAAGATATTGAAAAATCTAAAAAGAGAGAGAATGATAGAGAAATAGTCATAATATTTATTTTTTAATAAAAATTAAAATGTGATAAAATTAAAAAATTCTCAAATAATAGATGAGATAATTTTCCTACTTACAATATCTACAAATATCTACTCTATTAGTAGGAATAGTAACTATATATTTACTATATAAAAATTTATATTATATACAAAATTTCCAACACCACTGTAAGATTGATATATGTTCAACATTAGAAGTACATACATAATAAAAGGGAGTAAAATAAAACAATCATAAAAATTGTATATATAGTAGTTTAAAAACAAGAAAAAATATGTAAAAATTAAAATAATATATTTACATTTCAAGTGTTATTATCCTCTATATCCTACTTAATTTTATCTAGTTATAAGTAATTAATATATTAAAATTAACCCCATGCAACGCAAGGGCTAAACACTAGTTATTTTATTATTATAATTATTGCAATGATGTGCTATCTACTTGCAATGCAATTGTAGAAAAAATTAGTAGTTTTTTATGCTCTTAATCAGAATCCTTTAAACAGTGGTTCTTTCATCTACTAATTTCATCTTTCTTAAATTTTTGTTAAGATTTGAAATTGACATTTTTCCTTCTCTTTTGTGTATCTTATCAATTTAGTAGTATAGTTTATTTCTTCTTTTTAATGCAATCAAATAAATTTTTTTATAGGTGGTGTTTCCTAACTTAAGAGATTTGGCAATCATTGGCTCTGGAAATTGGACAATGATATGGGAGGATAAACTCATTTTGGGTTCATTTTATGAACTAACTGTCCTTTTAGTGCAAAATTGTGAAAAACTTTTGAATATATTTCCATTTCATATGATGGAAAGACTTGACAAACTCGAAAATTTTTTAATTGTGAACTGTGAATCCTTAGTAGACATAATTAGACCTGATCATGGATTCAATTCCATTGAATCAGCCACTAATTTTATATTTCCTAAAGTAAGAAACTTGTTACTTCAACAATTGCCCAAATTGAAGAACTTCTACTCCAGGCCGCATACTACAAGCTGGCCATCCTTAAAACAATTGCAGGTGAAAGGATGCGACAATGTGGAGATATTAGCTAGGCAGTACCTAAGCTTTTCGGAAACACTTAGAGAGAGCCAATCGGAAATTATCTCTTTTCAACAACCCTTGTTTTGCGTCACTGAGGTATGAACCCCTAATATTTATGTACAATGTAAGCATTTAAAGATTGTTATACTATTCTTTTCTATTTTCATTTTTTTTGTTTTCGAAAATTTTGTTTTGAAAACATAAAACATATTTGATAAGTAATTTTGTTAAATATAAAAAAATACTTAAATCATCACAAATATAATAATAATAATTCAATACGCAATAAAATTTTAAGAACTAAATAAAAATAATATTGTATTTGTTAAATAAAATTATATTATTTGCATAATATTTTTATTACCATTTGATAGTAATATTAAATATTTTATTTCATTATATTAGAATTTAATGTCCTTTAAATAACAATATAATTGAATATATACATAATAATAAAATTAGAAAATATTAATTAAATTAATATTTAAAAAATAATAATTTGACTAATATTAATAAAATTAAATTTATAATATTTAAATGAATTAATATAATTCTAATTGTGATATATTCTATAATAAAATGAACCTATAACCCATAATTAAAATTCAATAATATTAGCTATCGATTGTTGAATTTTTAGTGACATAAAATCCTTTTATAGAAACAACAAAGGATTTAAACCTTTCAAAAGTTTTAACTTTTTGTAGAATTTGTTTAGTTAAGTTCTAATTTGCTGATTAATTTATTTATTTGATTATTCAATGATTTCTTATATATAGGTGTAGTATTTTATTATAATTATAATTTCTCTTTTACTTGTAATTTCAAAAAAAAAATTCTTATATATAGATGTAATACTAAAAAAGTTTTCGTTAATACAAGTTAGGTTGGTTAAACATAATATGTTTTACATGCATGATAAATTTCATCCATGATTTTTAATTTTTTTTTTTTTTTATATTTTGGTCCCGCCACTGCACCAAATAAGGCTTTTACCATGTAACATGTCACGTGGACATTCCCTTTGAATGCCATGTGAACATTTGTCTCAATTGTTATTGAAAAAATGTGACAAAATAATCAACATGGAAATTTCAAAGGTTAAGGATATAAATAGAGCAACCTAAAAGTTAAAGATCATAGATGAAATTTACCATTCAAAATCATTGTTTTTGTTTTAACATATTTTGTAATTGTGATTCTCAGAATGCATTCCCCAATTTAGAATGGTTACTATTGGAAAAGAATGACATTATGATGGAGATATGGCATGGACAACTTCCGACCCAATACTTTTGCAAACTAACAGATCTTTGGCTCGAAAGAGTTCCCAATAGATCAGTTACTATCTTAAACAGTTTCACTCATTTATTACCAAATCTTGAAAAGCTTGTTGTGAGAGAAGCTCCCTTCAGTAACATATTTCAATGCGAAGGACTTGGGGGTGAGGAGGAACATCCAGGAACACTTGCTCGGTTGAGTGAATTAACGCTGCATGAGCTTCCTGAGTTGACACATATCTGGAAGGAAGAATTCCAAGTTGGAGAAGTTTTCAGCAACCTTTCAACACTACAACTGTGGAAATGTGACAAATTAAAGAATTTAGTGCCGTCCTATGTGTATTTTAAACATTTGACAACTCTGGAAGTGTCAAATTGTCAAGGGCTTAAGAATTTAGTAGCACTCCCAACGGCAAAAAGCATGGTGGCACTCACAAAATTGAGAATTATTGATTGCCAAATGATAGAAGAAACCATAGCTTATGGAAGTGATGATGTGAAGGATGGCATCGTCTTCTCCCAGCTGAAGTCTTTGGAACTTTGTAGTCTTCCGATCTTATCAAGCTTCTGCTCAGGGGATTATGCCTTCGAATTCCCTTCTTTGGAAGAGGTTATTGTGAGAAACTGTCCAAAGATGGAGATTTTCTGCGGAGGAGAGTTAGCTACACCAAGTTTGCGGAGAGTGCAATTTGCTGAAGATAAAGAGCGTTGGGATGGCAATCTAAACACCACCATGGAACAAATTTTCATAGAAATGGTATGTGTTCATTCAAATACTCTCTTTTCTTTTCTTTTTTTTTTTTACAAAATTTCAGAATTTTTTGTTCTTTTTGCTTCTAAAGTATGTTAAAGCTAACCATTCTAAATAGTTGCAATTTGGCTTAATTAACTAGGATTGTTTTTCTATGTTCTGACATATTATACTAAAGCAGAATGTCATAGAGAATAATTACGGACTAATTAAGTTTAATCTTTCTGAAAAGAAATTCAGGAATTCAGTTGATGGATAAGTGTTTTTCAGCAGACAGTAAAACTACATATACAGGATGGAGTAGACGCACCTTTATTCTTTATCCGGTAATAAAGATTATTATTATTGAAATGAAGATTTGATGCCCACTCATAAAATTGCAGTCACATTTTTATGGAATGGAAGATTATAGCCATGAAATCAGAAGTAATCTGATATGTTAAACCTTTTTTGCAGTTGCATAGTCAAAACTTAGTGGTTATATATGTCACCTTGTTTTTAGAATTCTCTGCAAATATGTGGTTCTTTTAACAGAGTTTGATTTCACTTTTATTATGATGTTGTTATGTTTACAGAGTGTCCAGAATTCTATAGCGGAGGAAGGTTGCGTGACACAAGCTCAAGCTGAATAAAAAAAACGTTTTCTATGTTTTTGAGACAAGTGCTTCACCTCATGTTCTTTTGAGAATTAAAGGTATTCTTTTGCAAAACTTCATTTGTCTTCTCATATTGTCAGAATTTCTTTATAGTTGGTGTGGTGCTTCTTTGTTTCAGGATGAATGGAGCACACCTCTGCTCTACCACCAACCCTGTCAAAGCTGCCATGTTTCAGGGTTCCAGAAGCCTATTTCTCTACCTAACAATGTTTGTTTTTAAAATTTTTGCAATATTGAGTGATTTGGATTTTTGTATTGATCTCTAGGTACCTTGACAGTAGTTCGGATTTTGATATTCTTAAAGATCTTGTTTACGAATATGTATATTTTATTTAACTGTAAATTACATCACATGATATTGATCTTTCTTGTGTTCTTGTCATGGCTACTGTCAATAGATGGCTACCATAGACATCAAATTCTAAGCTAGGATTTCCTCTGTTAATGCTTTACTGGTTCAGCCTTTGACAATGTGGATTTTGGTATGATATTTGTAATTAGTTGTATCAACAATTCTTGTTTTGTCCTTCAATTAGTCAATCCTAGTTATTTCTTCAAACCCACAATTCTGAAGAAGAATGAAGATCATATTTAGCATTCTGCAGTCATATCCTTCTTTGCATGTACGGGACAATTTTTGCGGGACAATTGAAAGAATTGAGAGTTGTATATATTTTAAGGGGTAAATCGATTTGGACTAACGTTTTCTAGATTCTTAATGATCCATCGACTAAACAATTAATGTAATTGTCTTTGTTTTTCCAGTTTATTATGGTGTAGATGATTCTTTTGGCAGTTTAGCTCCTCATATCGTGCAGGTGAGTGTCATATGCCATCTGAATTATTGCTAAGGGTTATTGCTTGATGTGAGCTACAATTATTGTTTTGAAACAACTAAAGGAAGATTAACTTCCTATATTATCTTCATTATTTTGAGATATTTTCTGCTTTAAGTTTTGCTTCTTGCAGTAGATATTTTGAGTTTAATAAATTGTCTTTTGGTTTGTCGCTGTGGCTGTTGGGCTCTTTACCATTTTTCCATTTGATTTGTTGAGTACATTTCAACGACTTCAAACTCTCAAAATATCTAGTTGTAGTTCAGTGGAACAAATATTTGAACTCCAAAGGTTAAATATGAAAGAAACACATGTTGTGGCTACTCAACTAAGAGAATTGTATGTTGTTAATCTACCAAAATTGAAGAATGTTTGGAACATGGACCCCCAAGGAATTTTAACGTTTCAAAATCTAAATTTATTATTTGTTTTGAATTGTTGGAGTCTGAAGGATGTGTTTCCAGCTTTAGTAGCCAGATTTCTTCCGCAACTTAAAGATCTTACAGTAGATAGCTGAAGATAAAGAGCGTTGGGATGGCAATCTACACTCTTACTTTTCATAGAAATGGTATGTGGTCATTCAGATACCTTTTTCTTTTTCAAAATTTTAGAATTTTTTATTCCTTTTGCTTCTACACTCTGTTAAATCTAACCATTCTAAATACTTGCAATTTTGCTTAATTAATTATGGTTGCTTTTCTATGTTCTGAGATGTTAACTAAAGCAGAACGTCTTAGAGTGTGATTTCGGACTAATTAAATTTAAATTTTCTGACAAGAATTCATGGATTTAGTTTATGGATAAGTGTTTTTTAGCAGACAACAAAACTACATATATAGGATGTAGTAGATACTCCTGTATTCTTTATCTGATAATAAAGATTATCATTATTCAAATGAAGATTTGATGCCCACTCATAAAAGTGTCCAATCCATAGTAACATTTTTATAGAATGGAAGATTACAGCCATGCAATCAGAAGTAATCTGATATTTTAAATATTTTTTTAGTTTCATATTCAAAACTTAGTGGCTATGTATGTCACCTTGTTTGTAGAATTCTCTGAAATATGTGGTTCTTTTAACAGAGTTTGGTTTCACTTTTATTATGATGTTGTTATGTTTAGAGAATGTCCAGAATTCTATAGCGGAGGAAGATTGTCTGACACAAGCTCAAGCTGGATAAAAAGGAATGTTTTCTATGGTTTTGAGAGAAGTGCTTCACCTTATGTTCTTTTGAGAATTAAAGGTATTCTTTTGCTAAACTTCATTTGTCTTCTCATATTCTCACAATTTCTTTATAGTTGGTGTGGCAATTCTTTGTTTCAAGATGAATGGAGCACTCTCAGCACTACCACCAACCCTGTCAAAGCTGCCATGTTTCAGGGTTCCAGAAGCCTATTTCACTACCTACCAATGTTTGTTTTTAAATTTGTTCTATTTTCGTTTGATTTGGATTGTCTCTATTGATTTCTAGGTAACTTTAACCGTAGTTTGGATTTTTCTCTACCTAAAGATCTCTTTTACGAATATGTATATGGAGACACCTAGCATCTATTTAACCGTAAATTTCGTCGCATGATATTGATCTTTCTTGTGTTCTGTCATGGCCACTGTCAATAGATGGATACCATAGACATCAAATTCTAAGCTAGCATTTCCTCTGTTAATGCTTTACTGGTTCAGCCTTTGACAATGTGGATTTTTGTATGATATTTGTAATTAGTTGTATCAACAATTCTTATTTTGTCCTTCAATTAGTCAATCCTAATTATTACTTCAAACCCACAATTTTAAAGAAGACTGAAGATCATATTTAGCATTCTGCAGTCATATCCTTCTTTGCATTTATGGGACAATTGCTATTGGATTGGTTCTTGCTGGGCGATTGAAAGAATTGAAAGTAGTATATATTTTAACAGGTAAATCGATTTGTACTAAGATTTTCTAGTTTCTTAATGCTCTACATACTAAATGTTCCACGCCATTTTCTTTGTTTTTCCAGTTTATTATGGTATAGATAATTCTTTTGGCAGTTGAGCTCCTCACATTGTACAGGTGAGTTTTTATATATTCTGTAATCTGAATTATTGCCAAGGGTTATAGCTTGATGTGAGACTACAACTTTTGTTTTGAAACAACTAAAGCAAGATTAACTTCCTAGAGTGTCTTCATTATTCTGAAATGTTTTCTGCTTTATGTTTTGGATCTTGCAGTAGATATTTTGAGTTCAATAAATTGTCTATTGGTTTGTCGCAGTGGCTGTTGTGCTTATATAACACCCAAGTACTACTTATGGTTTTCATGGCTATAGTTTCTCTATTATTGGCGTATCATGCTAATCTTTGTCTTACAAACACCACAACAAACAATGTGAGATCCGTTGAAACCTTGTCCAGTAGTTTGTTACTTGAATTTGCCAACCCAGCCTTGACCGAACATAAACCTTCAAATAGCTGGCTACGCTAATTGAGCTGTTATTGAAACCATGAAACTATAATCATATGTTTTCATCTGTCTGAAAATACAGACCTTCAAGTGGCAAGACTACTTTGGCTGGCGGAAGAAACTGAGTGCAGCAAGAGCCAAGCCCTGCAGCATTAAAGGCAAGCATCACCTGGATGAGTAGCAATGGAAAACCTCTGGAGAGCAAATGTAAATCCTTCTTCAGAAGGTCCCCTCTAGAGGAGACTGAAGGTGTTGTAAAGAATAATGCGTATGACAATGGATTCTTTCACAATTTCTTTGAGGTCATTTGTCCGGTTTCGATAAAAGCATCATTTTTGCAGACCGTAACAAAATTTGGCTAAGATTGTCAGCTGTTAATAGCTATTCATTCATTCGGCTTTCACCTCCAGTCATCAAGATGTCAGCCAGAAATTCAAGATAGATGATCAGGTTTAAATCTCAAGAGTTGCATATGGAGCAAAGTCCATTGTACAGCTTCTTCACTGGCTGTAGAATTATTGTTCAAGTAAAAGGATTAACGATACATCTTATTTTAATTGTAAGAACAGCATTTAGATTCCCCAATGCCATTGCCTCTGCCAGTCTTGATCCAGTTTCATTATGATGGTGCAAGAATTAGATAGTATTCACTGCAGCCCATCTAACTTCATCACCTGCTTGACTTTCTGTGTAACCCAACCATCTAAGTACTTTATCCAGCTGCTTCCATTGATGGGAAGCATTTGTTAGATATTGACTCAAATTCTAATTGGTAATCAGTTTGAATTTCAGTGAAATTTTAAAAGTTAATACTCTCTCCATATTTATAAAGCTTCATTACTTGATCATCAAGAATTCTTATTTACTAAGAACTCTTATCCATTAAGAATATTTATTCTTAATTATCAAGTAATTTTTTAACTAATAGAATTTTATTGGAATTCAAACTGATTCTCAAATAGAATTTGAGTTAATATCAAACAAATCTCTACCTTAAAACAAATTTTACTATAACATTAACATCCAAAAACCTTTTCATTCATTTATAGTGTATAGAAATATATATTCTTATAGTGTATCAAATATAAATCTTTTTGTTTATATATTCATTCAAATGTTGGTCTCAATTCCAACTTCCCCTAAAACTATATATGCTCATAAATGCAATCCTTTTTTGATTGACAATAAGGCTATGACCTGAATGTGGATGCTTTAACGTATTATTTCTATTCAGATTTTTTTAATAAATTTATTATCATAAATTAGTGATAATCATTAATCTGATTCTAATCTCAAATTGATTAGAATAATAATTTAGATCTTCGAATAAAAAATTGATAACACGAAATCAGTTTCTCTTGAGGTAGGGAAGTAATTTCTGTTCAAATGCACCGCCTGCCATTGCATTGGCAAACACCATTTCGTAGTTTTTGTCATAGCATTTTATACTAAAAAACTAGTCTTTTTCTTATGTTACATTTTAATTTTCTAATTTCTCTATTAATTTAGTATAATTTCATGATTGTAGTCAGTGTTCCCTTGCTTGTAGAACCTTCATTTGTCTTCAATCAATGTTGAAAGGATATGGCACAATCGGTTTTCAAATATATCTGAGTACTACACTCAAAATCTAACAAGTTTGATTATTGAGGCTTGTGACAACTTAAAACATCTATTATCATCTTCCATGGCTAGAAGCCTAGTGCGTCTTAAATGCTTTAAGATAGTTGAATGCAAATGCTTAAGAGAGGTGATATTCACAGAGGGTTTAGAAGAAGAAGGCAAAGCTACGATTTCATTTCCTCAATTGAACTCTCTAAAGATAAGGAATCTTCAACATCTCATTGGGTTTTGTTAGGAAAATTATATTATTGAATTCCCATCCTTGAAGTTTCTAGAGATAGAGCAATGTCCTCAGTTGCGGGGATTCATATATAAATCTACAATGGAGGAGAACCAACATTTCTCTCCACAAGCTCTCTTTGATGAAAAGGTAGATTTATTGCTGTAAAGTTCTTTGCCCTACTTGCTTTATCCTATTTTATTTTACCTTTATCTTCGGAACTAATTGCTCTTGTTTTCACATTACACGTAGGTTGCGTTCCCTAGTTTGGAGAGACTGAGTATTTCCTGCTTGAGAAATATAAAGATGACATGGCACAATCAACTCTCTTTAAATTCCTTTTGCAAACTGGAAAAAATGGCAGTTGATTTCTGTAATGTGATCTTTACCATTTTTCCATTTGATTTATTAAATACATTTCAACAACTGCAAACTCTAGAGGTATCTAATTGTGGTACAGTGGAACATTTATTTGAACTCCAAAAGTTAAATATGAAAGAAACACATGCTGTGGCTACTCAACTAAGAGAACTGTATGTTGTTAATCTACCAAAATTGAAGAATGTTTGGAACAAGGATCCCCAAGGAATTTAATATTTCAAATCTAAATGTAGTATTTGTTTGGAACTGTTGGAATCTGGAGAATGTGTTTCCAGCTTTAGTAGCTAGAGTTCTTCCACAGGTGAAAGATCATACAATAGCTAGCTGCGCGATGAAGGAGACTGTTTCGAAAGCAGAAGGATGGGAAACGACTGTTACTAATTTTGAGTTTGATCGAGTGTCCTCCCTTATGCTCTGGAACCTGCCAAAACTCAAATGCTTCTATTCAGGGATGCTTACAACAAAGTGGCCAGTGTTAAAAAAGTTGAAAACATACCATTGCAACGAAGTGAAGATACTTGACATCGGATGTCTTAATTTGCCAGATATGAATTGAGGATGACCAATTGGAGTCCCCAATCCAACCACCACTTTTCTTAGTTGAAAATTTATGAAACCTACCTCATACTTAAAATTAAGTTGCCAGTTGGTCCCATCAATAACATGTACTTGATTTTTTTTCTTTGTAACCTAGAATATATATCATTATTCATTTGATTCAAATGTGATCGTATCAGTTCCCTATATTTCAAATATGTTTCAATTGGATTAGGAAAATTTAAATCAATTGTGATTACAAAAAGTGAACTAAAGTTTAAGATACGACCTGAATGTATCCAAAGACTCACATGTCTCACATGTATGAATGTAATTATTTTTCCCTTGAACGCTAGTAGAATAAGCTTTTCATGATTTTTTTCATAAAGTACAAAATTGTAATTGACTTTTCATTGGTTTTGCAAGTCATCCCTAAATTAGAAGTGTCTTTAAACAGTGATGACATTGCAATGATATGTGATAACAAGTTTTCCACTGGCCTTTTCCATAAAATTAAAGTTCTTCAAATCCTCTGCCACCATGATTCATCTGCTGTTTTCCCAATTACTTTTCTGGAAAGATTCAACAATCTGGAAATGCTTGAGGTAACTTGCTGCAAATTCAAAGAGGTGTTCTCTTATGAAGATGTTGGAAATGAGACAAAAGCTTAGATAGTTTTACCAATTAGAAACTTAAGACTGAACAGCCTTCATCATCTAAAACATATATGGATGCAAGAGTCACGACTAGACTGCATTCTTCCCAATCTTGAAACTCTTGAGGTTTTCAGTTGTGGTAATATGATTAGTTTAGGATTGTCCTCAACACCTTTTCAGAATCTCATGACTTTGGATGTATGGGAGTGTGAAGCAATGATAAACTTAGTTACATCCTTAGCTGTCCAAAGTTTGCTGCAGCTAAAAATTTTGAGGATAAGAAACTGTGTTTCAATGAAAGAAATTGTTGGAAATGAAGGAGATGATGAAGCAACCTATGACATTATTTTCAATAGGTTGAAATGTCTAGAACTTCGATATTTACCAAGCCTTAAAAGCTTTTGTTCAGGCAATCACACATTTGGGTTCCCATCTTTGGACTAGGTAATTTTTATCAAGTGTCCTGAATTGGAGATTTTTTTGCAAGAATTGAATGCACCAATTTTGCAAAGAGTACAAGTAATTATAGGCAAAGATGAGAAGGGATATTGGGTTGGTGACCTGAATAGCACCGTCCAACATTTGTACACAGAAAAGGTACTTATTTATTTACAAAAGTTTTTTCTTTTATCTTTGAAAATATTTGTCTTGTGAGGGGTATTTTAGGCTAGGTTTTTATTAATGGGTGTTATTTTCAACCATTGATTATAATTTTTTAAGGTTTGATTATACTTGAGTTTTCTACTTTTCTTATCTGTTTTGAAAATAATTGGAGTCATATGTTAGATTTTGTAGGTTGATTATGAAGGAATGGAGTATCTAGTACTGTCTGAGTTTTCTAAGTCAATGGCGATATGGAGAGACAATCTTCAAAAAAGTTTAGATTTAAAAAATCTTCAATGTTTGGAAGTATATGACTGTAATAGCTTGACACATATATTTAACACTTCCATGGCTCTGGATCTTGTGCTATTGAAGAAGATGAAAGTAAAAAATTGTCCGATCATGGAGCAAATTATCCAAAATGATGGTGCAGAGGAAGCGACAACAAACACATTCATGTTCCCTTCCCTTCAATCCAAAGTCTTGCGTCATGTGCAAGCTTATCAAGTTTTTATTTGGGAAGTAAAAGAGTGGAATGTCCATATTTGACAGAAATTTTGATAGATGATTGTCCGAAGATGGTTGCATTCACTTCATCTCCGAAAGAGCAAAATATAGAGATTGCTGGTATTGCGGCACTGTTCAGTGAAAGGTTAGTTTTTGTTTGTGCATATGGTTCTTTATTTTCTTATTAATGATTCTTTATTAAATTGAAATGTGGGATAATATTTATTTACTTGTTTATTTATTAAATTAACTATTTTATCCTTAATTAATATTTTTTATTAAAATTGAAATGTTGGCTAATATTTATTTATTTTCTTACTAACATTCAAAATTTTATTAAAATAAAATTATCTTAATTGATAATTTTCTTATTGAATTAAATATTAATTATTTTTTCTATTTTATTTCCTTATTAATCTTGAATTCTTTATCAAATTAAACTATTTTTAATCAAATTTAATCTTTATTCCATTGAAGCATTAAAGAGTTTAATTATGTATAAGATTTATTATTAATATATAATAAATGTTGCAAAATGTATTTTTGTATATATTGTTATTGAATTAGATACCAAAGGATTATTGTTTTTCTTCATTGTATTTTTTTCTTTTTTATGAATGTCTATTTTTCTATTATTTAATGTCCTTTGAATTTAATTATTTTTCGCATTATTATTTTTTTAATTATCCTTCTAGTGTTTTTCATTATTAACTAGTCTTTTTAAATGGATTAACTTTATATATTTATATGCTTTAAATAAAAAATTTGAGGGTGAAGATAATTTTAGGACTTTTATTTGACAACTATAAAAGACAAAAAACAACTAAATTATTAATTTAAAAAACCATGTCCTACTATGTATTGATGAAGTTATTAATACAATTAATTTTTTTTATTAAGTATATGCTTCAAAAATATTAATGAAGATATTATGGTATTTATTTGATAAATTTAATTTATGTCCCATAACATACAAAAATAGCCAATAAATTTTAAATAGCTTAATAAATTGATTTTAATGTACTTTCTTTAAAATCATTTAACAAAATAAGGAAAATATAAGATTAAAAAGTGAAATAATGGATGGCAATTAAACATAATTCATAGAATATGTATATTATTAACTAATTATGAAGTTATAACTCCAGAAAATACACATTGACCAATTTAAATTTATTTATTAGTTTAAATGTTGTATCAGACAATCTTTATCTTTTTGTGTGTATTTCTTTTTTCTTTTGCATGCGAGGGGACGATAGAAAATTACAAAATCATTGAGTCTAGTGCTTAGCTTAAATGGATCACCTATCTCCTTTAGGAGTTGATTCCAGCAAGACCATAGTTCGAAATAATTGCAAATTCTTGTTTCTCAATTCTCCTTCGGCTTTGATCTTCTTTATACAAATATATATATATATATATATAAACAAGAACAAAAACAAAAACATCAAACTTTAGCACTAATTTAGGGTTTTAATAAATTAGTCCATAAAAAATTAATTATCTAAATAAAAGATCAGGTATACCTTTAATTATCTCAATTTGTATATTATATACATTTAAAGTACTTATTATTTAATTATTTTATTTAATTAAATGATCCATCTGCAACGCAATTGTAGAAAAAAATAGTAGATATAGATGCTTTTGGAATCCTTTAATTATATTTGTAGCTAACTTTTCTTTCCTGTACTAATTTCACATTTTTTAAATTTTGTTAGAACTTAAAATTGATACTTTTCTTTCTCTTTTGTGTAGTAGTAGTAATTTATTTTTCTTTCATTAATGCAATCAAATAAATTTTTTGTAAGTGGCATTTCCTAACTTAAGAGAATTGGCAATCCTTGACAGTGGATATTAGAGAAAGATTTGGAACGATAAACTCATATTGGGTTCATTTTGTAAATTAACTTTCCTCCTAATGAAAAATTATAAAAATACTTTTGAATATTTTCTCATTTTATATGATGAAAAGACTTGATAAACTCAAATATCTTCAAATATTGAATTATGAATCTTTGATAGAAGTAATTGGATGCGATCATGAACTCAATTCTATTGAATCAACCACCTTATATATATTTCCTAAAATAAGATTCTTGGCACTTCATTAGCTACCCAAATTGAAGAATTTCTACTCCAAGTTGCATACTACAAGCTGGCTATCCTTAAAACAATTGCAAATGATAGGATGCGACAATGTGGAGATATTTGCTAGGCAGTACCTGAGCTTTTCAAAAACACTTGGAGAGAGCCAAATGGAAATTATCTCTTCTCAACAATCCTTGTTTTGGGCCACTGAGGTATGAAACCATAATATCTATGTGTTTCTTATTTTCAGTTCTGTTTTAAAAAATTTTGTTTTGAAAATATAAACATGTTTGGTAAGTAATTTTGTTACATATGGAAAAACACTTAAATCATTGCAAATGTAATATTCAATACACAAAATAAAATTTTAAAAATTAAATATTAATAATATTGTATTTATTAATAAAATTATATTAGTTGAGTAATATTATTTAATAGATTTTATAGTAATATTAAATATTTTTATTTAATCATATTTGATTTAGTGTCCTTTAAATAATATTATAATTAAATATAATATTAAAGAATATTATAAAATATTAATTAAATTTAAAAAGTAATAATTATATAGATATTAGATAAAATTAAATTTATAATATTTATATAATTAATAATTCTAAGTGATGTATTCAATTATGATATAAATCCATAATCCATAATTGATAATTCAATAACATTAGCTATGACTATTGAATTTTTAGTGCCACATTATGGATAAAACTCTTTTCGAACAAACAGCAAAGATTTAGACCTTCTAAAAGGCTCTGTTAATACAAGTTAGGTTGGTTGATAATTGGGGTTGCAAGTAGTATGTTTTAAATACATGATAAATTTTATCCATGATCTTTAATTTATTTTTTTTTATTTCGGTGCCACTTCCACCACCACGTGTCTATACCAAGTAAAGCTTTTACTATGTAACATGCCATGTGGACATTCCCTTAGCTTACCAATTGAACCTTTTTTTTATTATTATTTTGCAATTGTTAGTGAACAATGTGATAAAATAATCAAAAGGAAAATCCAAAAGGTTAAGAATCTAAATAGAACAATTTAAAAGTTAGGGGAGGGATTAAAACTAGAATAAAAGTTAGAGATTATAGATGAAATTTACCGATTCAAAATCCTTTGCTTTTGTTTAACATCCATGTTTCTGAATTTTGATTCTCAAATACGTTCCCCAATTTAAAATGCTTACTTTTGGAAGAGAATGGCATTATGACAGAGATATGGCATGGACAACTTCCGATCCAATATTATGGCAAACTAACTCTTCTTTCCCTTTAAAGAATTCCCAACAGATTAGTTATTATCCTAAACAGTTTCATTCAATCATTACCAAATCTTGAAGCACTTCTTGTGAGAAAAGCTCCCTTCAATGAAATATTTCAATGCCAAGGAGTTGGGGGTAAAGAGGAACATCCAGGGGCACCTGCTCGGTTGAGTGAAGTAACGCTGATAGAACTTCCTGAGTTGACAGATATCTGGAAGGAAGAATACCAAATTGGAGAAATTTTCAGTAACCTGGGAACTCTAGAAATGTCGAAATGTGACAAATTAAAGACTTTAGTGCCATCCTCTGTGTACCTTAAAAATTTGACAACTCTGCAAGTGTCAAATTGTCACGGGCTTAAGAATTTAGTTTCAATCCCAACGGCAAAAAGTTTGGTGGTACTCACAAAAATGATTGTTACTAATTGCCAAATGATAGAAGAAATCATAGCTCATGGAAGTGATGATGTGAAGGACAGCATTGTGTTCTCCCAGCTGGAGTCTTCGGCGATTGGCAGTCTTCCGAGCTTATCAAGCTTCTGCTCAGGGAATTATGCCTTTGGATTCCCTTCCCTGGAAGAGGTTATTGTGACAAACTGTCGAAAGATGAAAATTTTCTGCCGAGGAGAGTTAACTGCACCAAGTTTGCAGAGAGTGAAATTTGCTGAAGATAAAGAGCATTGGGATGGCAATGTAAACACAACCATGGAAAAAATTTTCATAGAAATGGTATGTGTTCATTCAAATACTTTATTTTCTTGCTAAATTTCAGATATTTTATTCCTTTTGCTTCTGTTCTCTGTTAAAGCTAACCATTCTAACTAATTGCAATTTTGCTTAATTATGATTGCTTTTCTATGTTCTGACATTTAATACCAAAGCAGAACGTCTTAGAGTGTAATTGCAGACTAATTAACTTTAATCTTTCTGAAAAGAAGTTTATGAATTCAGTTGATGGATAAGTGTTTTTCAGCATGCAACAAAACTACATATATATGATGGAGTAAACACTCCTGTTTTCTTTATCTGGCAATGAAGATTATTATTATTATTATTGAAATGAAGATTTGATGCCCACTCATAAAATTCTAATAAAATTTTTATAGAATTGGAGATTATAATCATGTAATCAGAAGCAACATGATATTTTAAACATTTGTTGTATATTCAAAATATAATCGTTATATATGCCACCTAGCTACCGAATTCTCTGAAATATGTGTTTCGTTTAACATTGTTTGGTTTCACTTTTATTAAGATGTTGTTATGTTTACAAAATGTCCAGAATTCTATAGCGGAGGAAGGTTGTCTGACACAAGCTCAAGCTGGATAAAAACAATATTTTCTATGTTTTTGAGTGGAAGTACTTCACCTCATGTTCTTTTGAGGATTAAAGGTATTCTTTTGCAAAAAACTTCATTTGTCTTCTCATATTGTCACAATTTCTTTATAGTCGGTGCGATGCTTCTTTCTTTCAAGATGAATGGGGAACTCCTCTGCTCTACCACCAACCCTGTCAAAGCTGCCATGTTTCAGCGTTCCAGAAGCCTATTTCACTACCTACCAATTTTTGTTTTTAAAAGTTTTGCAATATTGAGTGACCTGGATTTTTTGTATTGATTTCTAGGTACCTAAACAGTAGTTTGGATTTGAATCTTCTTAAAGATCTCTTTTACGAGTATGTATATGAAGACACCTTGCATTTATTTAACCCTAAATTCAATCAGGTGATATTGGATCTTTCGTGTTTCAGTCATGGCTACTGTCAATAGAGCGCTGCCATAGACATCAAATTCTAAGCTAGGATTCCTTTGCCATCGACATCATTGTAGATTTCTGTACGATATTTGTCAACAATTCTTGTTTTGTCCTTCAATTAGTCAATCGTAGTTATAACTTCGAACCCACAGTTCTAAAGAAGGCTGAAGATCACATATATCTTAGATTTGGCTAAGCTGGGAAAAAGGATAAGTATGCACATAATTTATGTTTGAGTTAAATTTAGATGGTGACTGACGACTGAGCATCAGCTCAAATGCATGCATCCTAGTCAGATTTTTGGAGCTTATATGTTCGAGAAGATTTAGGTGTATATATCTTTTTTAAGTAAATAGGAGTTGGAGGTTGAAAATAGATTAAAATTTTCAAAAAAAAAAAAAAAAAGTTAGTGAGTGGCCCTTATGCTTCCATTATCTCCATTTCCCTCTTTCATTTTATAATTGCCTGAAAATGAAACCAGCCTTGCTAATATATATTTTTTCGATCTTAATTTTAAACCAGTTTTCAAATTGCATTTCAAAATAGTGGTTATATCACCTTGTTAATTGAATTTCTCTGAAAATAGAGGGTTTCTTCAGTGTTTGCTTTAATTTCACATTTATTGTGATGTTGTTACGTTTACAGAATGCCCAGAATTCTATAGAAGACTAAGGCTGATGATACACAACAAAGGTGGATAAAGACAATGCTTCTATGTATGTTCTTTTGAGAAGGTATTCTTTTGCAGAACTTCATTTGTATGCTTTAGCTATGCCCCATATTGTCACAATTGCTTTTATAGTTATTTATTCCATTCTCTTCCCCAAATCTCAATTTTATGCAAAGGCTTCTCTGTTTTAATATGCTTTACTGGTTCATATTTTTAGGCTGTGGATTTCTGTATGATATATATTCATAATAAGTTGTATTAAAAATTAATTATTGATGTTTCCATTATTTTGTCATTCCTACTCGTCGGAAAAATATATTACAAAGAAGACTGTAGATACATATCTTGCATTTGTGTAAGATGTAAAAAGGAAAAGATTCCATGGATCCGCATGCTTCCACCAAGTTCATTTTTCTTGGATTCTGAACTGGCATGTGGTTTGGCTTTCGTTATTCATGATTGACGGGCGAAAGTTAGACGGTGAGTGGATCCTTACGCTTCCACCAGGGGAAGGCAGTTTGATTCGTATTAAATAGATTTTAATCTGATATAATTTTTTAAAATTATATTTTTAAAAATTGAATATTAAGTCGAGTTAAATGATAAAATAAAAATATCAGGGTTAAATTTTAAATAAATCTTACTCAATTTGATACATAAAAATTAATTTTTTAATTAATTAATTATATAATTATATTTATTTAATTTTATATTTTTATTTAAAAAATAATATTTTATAAATTTTAAATTGAATCAAATATAATTTTATATAATATTAAAGAATAAAAAAAAATTAAAAATCAAAATGGATTGAATTCGAATATTATTGATACGTTGTGATCTACTCTTCTACCAACTCTTTTTTTTGTTGGGTACTTTATTTGTGTGGTTTTTCCTTTTATTATTCATGATTGATGTTTTTACTGTACAAATTGAAATAATTCAGTAGAAATTGATGACTTTTCCTGTGTAGGTGGAAATAAGGGTAAAAGAAAGATTCTCTTCTATCTACCTTCCCAGTTGTTGTCTTAGCAGTGCAGTGTGGACTGAATGATGCATTTTCTTCAGCGAAGCAGGATAGATTTTGCCTAGTTGTTTCACTTTTAGTTCTTACAAAATGTTAGTTCAAGGAAAAAACAGTGTGGACTAAGACAGTATTAATTCTTTTAATTTTCTTCGGCAGTGTGGACTAAAAGAGTGTTTCACTTCCTACAAAATGTTAGTTCAAGGCTTTTTTTTTTTTCGTAACTTTTTAATATTAATGTATGATATATGTTAGAATCCAGTAAAAAACACCATTTTTGTTAATTTAATTTTGTGTTCTTTTTTTATTAAAAAAAATTATGTGCTCTTTTGAAACATGATATGTTTTTTTTTTTCATTTCCAAAAAATTAGCATATATATATATATATATATCAATTGTTGACATCTATTAATAATATTATATAAAATTTCGGATTGAGTTGGGTGTTAAATTTACTCATTAATAATAAAAATAATATAAATTTCAGATTGAGTTTTTTTTTTTTAAATTGATATCTAGTCAAATCAATAAGTTTTTTATTTAAAAATTAGAGAAGAGTAAGAAGCAAATTTTGACTTCTCTACCTCAAATCACTCCATAGAATATATAAAAGTATATATTTTATTATTTTAATATTTATATATATTATATTAATAAAATTATTATTTTATAATTTAATGTAAAATACTAATATTTTAAATTCAATTAAGATATCTATGTAATTTTCCTATGAGCTCTATTTTCTCTTTTTTTTTGTTTTTATTTTTTGTGTTTTCGTTTTAATGCTCTTTTTAATTAAATTAACTTTGTAAAAAAAAAAAGTCAATGGAAGTGTTCATGTGGCACTTCATTTATTTTTTTATATTTTTTAATTAGATAAATTTTGTAATAAAATATATCCATTGATAAAAATATCAAAATAATTAGTATTTAACTAGTTTTAATTCATCTGAAACTATTAGAGGTGATTTTTTTTAAGTCAAAATCAAATTGAGACAAGTCGAGTTTTTTTTCAAGAAAATGAGATCAAAACAAAAATATATTTAAAATGTTTTATCTTAAGCCATTTTAGGTATATATAAATATATATATTTTATTATTAATTTTATTTTTATATATACTTCATATTAATAAAATTATTATTTAATACCTTAACTTATGAAATTAATGTTTTAAGTTTAATGACATATTCATGTGGCATCCTTTATAAGTTTTTTTTTTAATATTTTCAATTTTTTGTTTTTATTTTTTAATTAGATAAATTTTATGAAAATTAAAACTAATTAAGATATTCAAGTATTACTTTATTTGAAATTTTTTTATTTTTTATTTTTTAATTAAATAAATTTTATAATAAAAATTGAGAAATAAAAATAAAAAAATTTTCTCTTGAAAACACAATTTTATTATGCTAGTAAATTACAAAGAAGACTGAAGATATATATCTTGCATTTGTGTAAGCTGTCAAAAGGAAATGTTTCCATGGGTCCTCATGCTTCCACCAAGTTCATTTTTCTTGGATTCTTTACTAGTGTGGTTTTTGCTTTCCTTATTCATAATTGATGGGAAAGTTACACAGTGAGTGGATCCTTATCCTTCCACTAATCTGTTGTTTATTGGGTACTTTATTTGTGTGGTTTTTTGCCTTTCATTATTCATGATTTATGCTTTTAATTGAGTGATAATTGATGCTTTTTCCTGTATATGATGAAATAATTGAGTAACAATTGATGTTTTTTCTGTGCGGATTGAAATGATTAAGTAGCAGAAAGATTCTCTTCTTTCTACATTCCCATTTCCGACCCCAGCAGTACCGTGTGGACTGAATGGAACATTTTCTTCAACCATGAAGATGGACGTTGCCCGGTTTTTAAATTGATTTATCAAACATGCTAAAAATAAAATTATTAAAATTTTTTTATTTTTATTGATTTAAAATTTTTCAAGAATTTATCAAATGAATTAAAAAACTTTTATCAAAGAGTATAGGAAAAGTTACATCAAGTACCCTTCTTTTTTTGTTTGACTAAAAATTATATCGTGCTTTTTTCTGTCAGCAGATTAAAAGTGTTAATTTATATTATTTGTTGGCAACTGTAGACTTTCATTAAATATTTTTTTTAAAATTGCGAGTTTCACCAAAATTCAAATAAAAAAAGTTGATTTTAATATATTACAATAGTGATAACCCCCGGAGATATATTTTTTATAAATTCAAATATTTTTTTTATAAAATATTTCTTAAATAAGAAATTATAAAATTTTTTTAAGCAAAAATAATTTATTAATATACTTCAATCTCAAAATTTTTTTTGCATAAAGTCTACTCTGTTGTGTCTGATCATCTTATTTTTCAATATTCAACAATATTTCTCAATTGAGAACTTGAAATTATTTTATAATATATATTTTAAACATAGAAGTTTACACTAAGCAATAAATAAGTATATAAAATAATGAAAAATAATAAGTAGATTTGCAAAGTGGATTTAGGAATTTTTATGTGCCAAAGCAAGCCACGCAACAATTTAGAGGCTAGAAAGAAGTGAAGTTGATATATAAATTTTAGACTTAATATAGTGTGAAGGCTTTTGGCTTAAATTTAATAATGAGATACTGAAATATATGGGAAATAATGAAAAAGGCCATGGAGAAGATACAAGGTGGTAACAGTAGTATCAACTTCTACTTTTTTACTTTAGTTCTTTTGATTAGTAAATTTTATAAAAAAAGTTAATGATTCAGCATGCTAGATCAGATTAAAGTAAAAAAGTTTACTTTTTTCCTTTAAGGTCATATCTTTTATTTACAGATACACCGAATGTTTTTAACATTATCTAAAAGATCTTTAGTTGAAAACCAAGAAAAAAAATTTTTAAA